ATTCGTTTATTAGATATAAACATTTAAAGTTTCAATTTTTTGAGTTAATATATAGGTATAATACACAAGGGATTACAAATACAGGTAGCTAATTGATTTTTTATGATATTGCTATCACAGTCACGGATTGTTTATTATCAATTATGACTATCAATAGATATACATTCTGTATTGTCAGTTAGTGTATTTATAAACTCACAACAATGTGTCTTACTACCATTGATAATAACAATGCTTTGTACCTGCTAATATCGATGCCATAAAAAACCAATTAGCTACCTGTAATTTTAATCCCTAGTGTATTATACATGTATATTAACTCAAAAAATTGAAACTTTAAATGTTTATATCTAATAAACGAATAAAGTTATATTAAAAATTCAAATGCGGTGGTGTTGTTCCGGTAGGATGAAGTTAATCTACGACACGCGTACGATGAATACGTGTGTTGCGATATGAAATTTGGAGAATTCAAAGAGTTTTACAAAGAGTGTTGGANAGAGTTTTGCAAAGAGTGTTGGAACAAGGATCGGTACGGATTCGCAGTGATTTGTTTGGACTTTGCGCGAGACGACGGCCGATACAGATACAAGTTTGACACATTTGTTACAATATGAGTGCCGCCGATAAGGAAAANTGACACATTTGTTACAATATGAGTGCCGATAAGGAAACATTGCTGAAACTGTTGACTGAAGCCCGGGAAAATGTTCGAAAAAAGTACACAGAATTGCGTCGTGGAGAAGCGGATTCGTTGACTCGCGTAAAACGTCAGTTGGCGCCAATCATTGAACCATTAGATAAAATTGCGTCACAGCAACAGCAACAACAGCAAAAACAACAACAACAATAACAATTACAGCAAACTATCAAGAGTTTAAACGATGATATATACACTGTGGAACACGATGACGGGTTTTTCCATCAGTACATGTATCAATGGTCAATGAACCCCAATAGAGATAAAATGTATGGACCAAAGGTATCACCAGATGGAACAATGACATTAGGTGAAGCCGACAATATCTTTCTCGACAAAGGAACAATTAATGTTTTAGATGAAAAATTCCCTCTGACTATGGGTCTTGTGGATTTACTGTTTTCGAAAAACCCTGGAGTTTACTCCGAATCGGATTTGCATGCGTACAAAACGATTCTCGGCAAAACCGGTGTGCATTTAAATAAAGACGGAACATTGAAAAAAGGAGGTCAAAAGTATGTAAACACCATTAAACCATTGTTTGATAACGGTTATGGTGGTAACCCAAACAATTCCTTACCGTTGTTTGAAAGCAGCAGCAGCAACATCAGTGACACATCCATTATCGGTGCGGGTCTACAATTGAGATTGAACAACAAGAAAAAATATTACATTTACTGGGACGACCCCAACGAGCTCGTGGAACGTTTACGTTTATTGATATCAGCCCGGTCGGCTGGCAACACTGGAGTTTCACCGGAAATCGTTTCTATATTGGAAGAGCTGCAGGAAGCCGGTTACATTGAACAGATACCAGCGGCGTTATGAATAAGAACATTGCTAACGAACTACACCGGCAGGCTCGCAGGACGTATACCCGTGCCCGGATAAATATCAAGGGTCTCGATGATATATGGCACGCTGACCTCGTGGAAATGCGCGCATACCCTGATCGACGACATCGGTATATTTTAACGTGCGTCGATGGATTTTCAAAATACGCGTGGGCCATCCCGTTGAAAAATAAAACGGCCAACGAAGTTACCGCAGCCATGAACGGAATACTGAAACATGGTCGTCATCCTAAGCTTTTGCAAACGGACAATGGTAAAGAATTTTACAATAAACAATTTCAAAAACTGATGTCACAATACGCAATCAATCATTACTCTACTTATTCCACGATGAAAGCGTGTCTAGTGGAACGTTTTAACCGCACGCTGAAAAACGCAATGTGGCGTGACTTTAGTGCACGTGGCTCGTACAAATGGGTGAATCGGTTGTCTGCGCTGTTGCACGACTACAATAACGTGCGTAAACATAGAACAATCGGTATGACACCGGTGCAAGCGGTGAAAAACCCAGACCTGGTTCGGTTCAAGTTGCGTCAAATACCAGATAATTTACCGGTAAAATTCCGTGTGGGAGACAAGGTGCGGATAAGTGTACATAAATCAGTGTTTGATAAGGGTTACTTACCAAACTGGAGCACCGAACTGTTTACCGTAGTTAAGGTTAGGCAAACAGTACCGCCAACATACTATCTAGAAGACTATCAGGGAAATCCAATACGTGGTTTGTTTTACACCGAAGAGCTGAACAAGACCAGTTATCCGGACATGTATTTAGTCGAACGAGTGTTGCGAACACGAGGGGACCAGTGCTTCGTTAAATGGTTAGGATTTGGTCCAGAGCACAATTCATGGATACCCAAAACCAATATCTCACCTCAATGATTGTCGATATACAAGGTATTGTGGCAGCCGACCGATCGTTTTTGGTCAAGGAACTGACTGTCATTGCCATAGACTGTACTTCATTCGCTCATTGGATGTTTAAACATCCAAAAAGTATCGAGGGCGATGCTAAAACAAACTTTTGGTTGAAAAAATACCTACATGGAATGGATACTCGTTGCGGTGACGTTGAATACAATGAGTTGCCGAGAATCATGAAACTGTTGCGGTGCGAGACCATTTACGTGAAAGGAGCTGTGAAAAAGCGAGTAGTTGTAAAGTACATACCGGGACAACGTATAGTCAACGTCGAGGATTTGGACTGCCCACCGCTGTACAATTTAAGTTGTGTTACAAAAATGTGTTGTATCCGACACATGAACAACCCGACAGTGTGTAGTTTATACAAGGCAATCTGCTTAAAACAATGGATGAATTATAATATGTAACATTATTGTCAAAAAATGATTTTGCAATATTCTCATTTGTATTCGTACAATAATTATATTTTCCCTAAATAAAATGTATATTAATGATTATAGTAAAATAAATAAATATTTCTAAATTACGTGTAGTATTTACTATAGGTTATTAATACCTATTGTAAAATAATCTATCTGGTATTATCGAAATAAATAGAGGGTAATTACTTTAATTAATTAAGCATTTATTATAATATCAATTCTAACTTACATTTATTTACAATTCAATTCATTAAAATATTACATTAAAAAATCTTAAAACTATATTTACAACTATATATTTATATACAACACTTATATTTACAAAAACCTTATCATAAAATTCAATTACACGGTTTAACATACAATATATTTTACATTTATCAATATGGATATTTAAAGAGTTTTACAATCTTATCATTACTATAAAAACTAATGTTGCTTAAATTTCTTCCGATGGAATGGCATAATGACCGTAAGCCAGCGTGTCAACTCTGTTGTCGAGCGTGTAGCGCTTATCGTCGAAACGGTTAAGCGCCAACTTGGTTGTACGTAAAGTGCGTACCTCGTGCTCGAAAGAACGAATTGACACGTTCTGTCGGTACGGTAATGATAATGTCGGTANAGTGTACGGTAATGATAATGTCGGTGGAATCTCACCATCACGTACGGCTCCGATGACTACACGGGCATTGTCTCCGGCCAACGCTCGTTTTGACGCATCGTCACCATCGTCGCCATCGTCTTCAAACAAACATCGTTTGTAATCGTCCAAAGACAGATGGTTCCGGACGACATGTCCGCGGATCCCCTTAGACTTGATGAATTCGCTGCCTTCCATGTCAAATGCATAGCACTTTGAACGAAGTGCAGCGATCTCAAAGAGGGTGAGGCCGCCGGTCTCGTCTGAAAACAGACCAGGCGTCTTCTTCCTCGAGGTCGAGTAACAAGGGTGATCCTTGGGCAGGCTAGATGCGTCCACGTACACCAGTAAATCGGGGCTGTCGGCTAAATCCTGGTAGAAGTCGCTGACTCTGAGCAGGTATATGAAGGAGTCTGAGAAAAATTAAAAATATATAAATATTGTAAAAATATTTCTACTGTACGGTTGTACTCACCAGTATCCATGTAAACCAGGCTAATTGCGTCGCCATTATGAGGTTTTAATACGTCGTAGAAGTACTTGTACAATAGCGACTTGCTAATATCAAGCACTGCTAAACCGACGTATATTGGTTTGAGAAACTTGACAATCTTTGTGTCCATTATGACGGCGCACAACCTTTCGCCGTATTTAATACAGTCGTTGAAGGTTGGTTGGTTTACGAGCTTGCTTAGACGTTCGGGACTAAAGATTAGCTCAATACGGATNTAGACGTTCGGGACTGGAGATTAGCTCAATACGGATGCGTTTCCGCATGTTCTCCATTGTTTTCCCTATAAAATGTAAAAATTATCGAATAACCCACTTTAGCATTGAGCATGCACTTATCAAAGACGGCATTATTCATTAGTTTGAAAAATGCTATTTCAAAAGCATTATCCGCCTTTTTCCGCATTTCAGTGTTCAACTCAATGTATGGTTTCAACCAAGCACTTTGTTGAAACTCTAAAACGCGGTGCACCTGCAGTACAAATATTTATATTAGTATCATAGCTAATAGCTCTAGGTACGATGTATATACTTTATCGACTTGCAGTCCGTGTGCGATCGCCTGTTTAAGATTAACGTAATGTACGACGTACCGCTGTTTGGGTTTCAAAGTGGCCATGAGTTTAGTCTCTTTGGAACCCGGTGGTACATCGTTGACAGGCAAGAACGGCAAGTCGTTGTGCTCGATATGCAGCCCTTCTGGATACAATACATCTACTTCATATATACGCCCCGTATTACCAGTGTCCGAAAGCAATTGGAGATCGGCCAGAGGATCTGATCCTTCATACCACCGGAAGCCACCGTACGGCATGGGCTGACTCATAGCCCACCCGTAAAGGTTATTGCCTATATACATTAAACGTTTTTAATTCACAGCTCAATTATTGTACTTTTATATATAATACTTACAATCTTGATACACGATCCATGAGTTTGGTTTTGTCGGATCGTAGCCAGGTGTCTTTGGATTGTTGGCCTTGACATAGTGCTTGACGGCCTGCACCAGCCCACCACGAATGCCCTGTTCCACCATCAGTAGCATGTCGTAATCGTTCNAAGCCCTTTAAATTTTTATACACGTAAAAGTAAAGCAAAATATAACTTCTTTATTATTTTTATAATTTCTCCGTTTAAATTACAATATTAGTTCGGCTTCAGCTATCGTAGCAATAAGTCGTGTTATTGTTACGCGCCTATGAATCCGGTTTTCCTTATACATATAGTATTATCGTATTTAGTTGTATATCTCTAACTCACATAAGTAGTCTCGCTTATTTTTTTCTTTTTAAGTTTCCGTATGCCCAATTCACCGGCTGAACCGGGCCGTCTACCAAATAACTGTTCTGACCCCATAAAAGTAACTGTGCACAAAAATCGAAAAGACTCCGACGAATGGTCAACTGCCAGTTCGAAACGTAAGTCTAAAAAACTTCCAACCAGCCCGATTTCTCCGAATCTACAATACCTATTAGATAATCAACCGCAACTACTCCCAGCTAACATACAATTTCAGTACAATATTAACGAATCGGCCGATATCAATGAAACTAATATGGCATATCTTAATGATGCCATTACTCTAACGTCAGATAGTAATTCTAATACTATGGACATCGATAATGTTTTGAATAACAATAGCGACCATGATATATATAACACAAATACGCCAAAAAAGGTAAATAATGATTCTGAAACAGTACATTCGTCTACCGTAAAAAAAATTTCTAGTAATTCGAGTGTAGATTCTAATATGAAATCTTTTTCAAACAATTTTAACGGGACTCTGGTAATTCTCGTTGAATCCACGGTTAGCGACCAAAATATCGGCAAATTACACCCGCTAAAAATTGGTAAACTTTTCCACAGCAAATTTGGCGGTATAAAACAAATAACTCCCATTGGTTCCAGAGTTAAAGTTTTATTTGATTCTATCAAATCTGCCAATGCTTGCCTTAATTCTAACTTTCTCCCTGGTATGAACGTAAAAGCTTCAATCCCGTCTACTTTAATATACTCTCACGGTATCATCCACCTGGATACCTCAACAACAGAGGAGGAATTTTGGGAAGGTATCGAATCGCCGGTTCCTATTAGTGGTTTTCGTCGCATATTTACAAAACGTAATTCTAATACCCCAACTCAAACTAATTTAGTAGAACTCAAGTTCCTTTCTTCAAAACTACCGGAAAAAATATCAATATTTAAAGTCATATTCACGGTTTCTCCTAGCATCCGTTCGCCTGTTATCTGTAATAAGTGTCTTCGCTACGGACACACAGCCAAATTTTGCAGAAGTAAGGCACGGTGTGCCAGTTGTGGTGCTAACGATCATATTGCTACCGATTGCCCTAATAAAGACAACTCTACCCCATCATGCTTACATTGCAAAGGATACCATAAGGCTACAGATCGCTCATGTCCTGAATGGTCCCATCAAAAGGAGATTAAGAAAATCATGGCTGTTGAAAACATTTCGTACAACGATGACATTTTTATGTTTAATAATAACATTGTTAATAAATCTAAAAATTTTTCGAATAGTGTCTCAAGCAATGCAAATATTATCTATATATATATAAATAATATATCTATAGAATCTTTTCAATCTTGCAAGATAATCTTGACACAATCAATCTCCAAAAAACGTAAAAATAAGTATCATGGGAGTAAAAACAGTGTCCAAACTATCAACCCGCATTAATAATAGTAATGATTGGTCTTCTCCCAATGGTTCGTTTCTCGAATACATGTCCACTAACTCCTATGCTCAACCTGCTGAGAAATCCTGGATCACATCTTTGGCTAATCAACTCTCTTCAGCTGTATTCAATATTCCTTCCTCTACATTATTATCCCCCTCAACCCTAAATCAATTAATTGAGTCTCACATCCTTAACTTTCTCTCTTTATCATCTAATAACAGTTTGCAGTAACTTCCTCATCTCATCACATTTTATCAACATTATTGTTTATTTTATTTATTATTATTTTTTTATTACTCATTATCCTTATGACTTCTTATGTATTTGCTTTTGTCTATGTGCGTATTTATGCAATATATATACGCATGTATGTTTATGTACGTACACTTGTTTCTTCACTTGCCTGTGTATATTTTTATTTACTTATTTATATCCTATTTATGTTTATATTATTTTACATGAACTTAAGGTTTATATGTATCTGTTATTTATTTACTTATTCCCTTTCTCTTTCTCTTTTTACTTTTACTACAATAACTAAATGTTAAACATTTTGCAATGGAATATTAGAAGTATCTTATCTAGAACACAAGATCTTGCATTTCTTATCCACCAAAATAAATGCCAAATTATTCTGATCTCAGAAGCTTGGTTACTTCCAAATAAAAATTTTCACCTTTCTAATTTTAACTCAGTCCGCTCTGACCAACAAGATGGTTATGGCGGTGTCGCCATCTTGATCCATTCCTCAATTCAATTTCATCCCATTACACTTAATAACAATCTGAAACAAATGCTCAGTACCTTTTCAATCGATCTAGTTGGTATCAATATATTAATGCCGGACAATAACACCTTTCAACTATGGTCTATTTACATTCCTCCTTCATCTAATCCTTTTACTCTAATAGTTTCTGAACTACTCTCCAATAACTCCATTATTGCAGGAGATTTTAATGGTCATCATTCTGCCTGGGGTTTACTAAACTCCAATTATAGAGGCAATATTATTCACTTAACCATCAGTCAGCATAATTTATGTATTCTGAACACAGGCGCTCCAACTAGAGCTAACCGGCCACCGTTCCCGGATACTGCTGTTGACCTAACCATATGCTCCCCTAACATTTTCTTGTCATCTTCTTGGTACGTTTTGGGTGATCCTCACGGTAGCGACCACTATCCTATTGTAAGAAGTCTTTCTATACAGCCCACTCAGAGTTCGGGTCGCTTTAACAGTGACTCTTCCTCCAATGATTCAAATAATTTCAGGTTTAATTTAGACTTAGCAGATTGGACCTTTTTCTCTCCAATTGTCTCTACCTTACTCAAACCTTGGTCTGAATTCACCTTCCCTACAATATATTAAAAAAATTTTGTTAATATCCTAATAAGAGCTGCAAAACTTTCAATCCCGCGTAAGCGTTCGAACAATATAGGTTTTAGCCATTCTCCTCCTTGGTGGAACTCAACCTGCACCACTGCAGTTAAAATGAGCTCCTTTCATTTCAAAAAATACAGATCCTCAAGTTCTCTTCATGACTATATAACTGTCATATAGTCATGTTATATTATAACATATAAAAAATCAAAATCCAACACAACCAAAATTCTAAAAAAGGAAAAAAAACTCTTGGTTAAATTTATGCAGCAACCCTTCAACGTCCATCTCTGAATTTTGGACCATAGCTAAAAAATTCAAAAACTGTACAAATCGTCCTTCTTCCACCACCAACAATGTTTGGTTTATCGACTTTTGTAATAAAATTGCACCTCCTTACGTTCCTGCTCCTGATGAACTTGAATTACATTTTTCAAACAATTTAGCAAATAATAGTAATAATAGCTTCCTTTCCTCTCCTTTCAGTCGTCACGAACTGTCCTTAACTATCTCTTCCAGGAAATCTGCTGCTGCTGGCTTGGATAATATTTCTCCTTTTTTTCCTTTGTAACCGCCAATTTACTACGGCAGTCTTCGTTGACGTTCGTGGTGCATTTGACTCTGTTAACATCCCTCTTCTTGTTACAAGTCTTCTCTCAATCAACATTTCTATATCGGTGTGCATATTTCTTTATTTAAATGTCGCCTGCTTCACTTTAAATCACCGTTTGGTCCTTCCTACCAACGTATTCCTTAAAGAGGTCTTCCTCAAGGTAGCTGCCTCAGTTCTATTTTATTTAACATATATACTGCTGATATAAGCAAATCACTCACATCTAATAATTTTTCTAGTTTACTTTACGCCGATGATATAGTTATCTTCTCTTCCCATAGTTCACTCCAGGTTACTGTAGTGAATATAAATAATGCACTCCAGATCCTCTGTACTCCAGCTTTCCTATTTTGAATCAAAATAAAAAGCAAAGCTTTAATATTTACTAGAAAACACATCCTACAACAGCCTTCAATTTTGCTTGATGGAGTTAGCTTATCCTTCTCTGATTGTGTTACTTACCTCGGACTTAAACTAGATCAGAAACTCCACTGGATGCCTCATATTAAGTACCTCATCTCTTCCATATAACGCTGGTCTAATCTTCTACGTTCCATTGCAAGTACCTGGTGGGGCTCCCACCCCTCCTCGCTCTTACTTATTTTTAAGACTCTTATCCACTCTAAAGTCGACTATGGTTCCTTTTTATATGCCTCAGCTTCCACTGTTCATCGTAAAAAAATCAATTCTCTACTCGCTGCTTGTTTACGCACAATTATAGGTGCAGTTTACTCTACCTCTAATATGAGTTTAGAAGTAGAATGTGTATGCCCTCCAATTGAAATTCGATCTCGTTACTTATAGCCCGTAAATTTATTTTAAAACCGATATCCTGTCCTGCAAGTTAATATTTCATTGTTTTCATTCACTAAGCTCACTTTGGCGATATGTACCCAAAGCTCTTCCAATACTTGCCTCAATTGCTACTATCTTGATTCCCTACCTTAATTCCATAATTACCTTAATCAATCGCCTACCTATATACGACATTCCATTTCAGGCACTTATTCATTTTCCAAAAATTCACTTTAACCATCTATTTATTTCTTATAGCAAGCCTCAATTACAATCTCTCCCAACTAATTTTGTCAGTTATCTTTTTGATGAACTCATTACATCTCGGTTTGCTAAATATTGCCTCATATTCTCCGACGGCTCAGTTTAAACTAATTCCGCCGGTTTTTCCTTTTTTATTCCTAGTCTAAACATAAATTTCTAAGATAATCTCCCTTCAAAAGCTTGTTCATTCACCACCGAATCTTATGCGATATCCTCGGCTCTCGAATTCGTCAAATCACTCAATATAATAAATGTTCTGATTGTCTCGGATTCACTGTCAGTTTTATCCTCTCTTTCCTCAGTTCCTTTTAAAAAAAGTAGATCCTTCCTCACAATCAAAATTAAAGCCTTAATTTATAGTCTCTATTTAATGGACATTAATGTTGAATTTTTATGGTGCCCGAGTCATGTCGGAATCTATGGCAATGAGATAGCAGACCATCTAGCCAAACTGACTAACTCCTTCAACCGACCACCTATCCTAAGAATTCCCTCTTCCGATCTCCTTCCTCTTTTCATTTAACTATTAATAAAGCATGGCAGGATAAATGGTCAAATTTCTCTTTAGCTAACTGGCATAAATCTATAGTACCAACTATTCCTAAACGTCCTTGGTTTTACAACCTTCATCTGTCCCGTTTCCATATTACCTCTTTTTCCCGTCTTAGATTTGGTCAAAATTGATTAACTAGTCATGCCTTTAACATGTCACTAAACCATTCCCCCTTCTGCCCCAAACACAATGATGAAGTCCCCTGTAATTATCCTCATTTACTATTTGATTGCCTAGCTATACAACATAACCGTTTACTCTTGTGAAATTTCCTGTCCTCCCTTAATAATATTTCACCCATTAATAGTTTTAATATCCTTATTAAAACTTATTAAAACCTCCTCAATAATTATACAAATAATTTCCATCGTTCATTTTACTGGCTTCGTTATATAATATTTTTCTGTATGTTAATTAATATCCTAGGTCTGTTTTTTTCTTTCTTTTTTAATATTTTTAGTATGTTTAATTTATTAATTTAACGATGTGTTTAAATGTGTTTCATTGTTATTTTTTTTTCTTCTTCCTTTGTATAGTCTTAGTTCCTATTATATAGTGTTAGTTTCTATTGCATAGTTTTATTTTAATCGTTTAGCTATAATAATACTTCTGAATTGAAAGCTATTAAAAAATAATAAAAATTTTTAAAAAATTACAATATTAAATTATTGAATATCAATTTCATACTAAATTTAATAATTATGATTAGTATTTATTCATATATTATATTTTGAAATTAAAGAACTACTAATTAGGATATAATCAAAGATAAGAGATGATGTAGTTTTTGGAATAATCCACCAATTTCTCTAAATGAAACATTATCTACAGATTTTCATCGAAGCGTTTCTTATGATAGTGATTTTAATCACTGTCAGATATTATTTATACTTGTCCCATCTATGCCTCGTTTACACTGTGTCTCGACCCCACTGTGCTACAGTTTTTTTTTTAACTTATAGTACATAACATAAGCTTTAATTTAACATATGTTGAAAGGACGCAGTATTTCTGGAACATTTTTAAAAGCTCTGTTTAAAACGTTTAACTTTTGTGAATAAATTGCTACTTTGAATCCATCCCCTGAACAAGTTAATGGTGAGGTTTTAAAAATAAATGAATTTCAAATAAAAGGGACATACTTAAGGTTTCTATATAAAAAAAATTAGTTTGATTCATTTTGAAAAAGTAATGGCAGTTTTGACATTCAAAAACGACAAAATTTAACAATATTAAAAATTGTCATTTTTTTGAGATTTCTCCAATTTACATGGAACGAAGGAATATTTTTCTACTTTTAATAGAAATGCTTTCAACTACATACGATTTGTAATTTTCTGACGTATTGTTGAAAGAAATCGGTTCAGTGAGAGCTGAGTAAAATTGTGACCGATATAAAAAAAAACACATCATAGTAAAATTTATACCTTTTCAGCTTTGCATCGAAGCTAAGATATTAAAATTAAAGTTTCAAAAAATGAATTGAAATAATCAATTATTAAGAAATATTAAATACAAATTATACTCATACTTATGATAATTTTGTAACATGATTTTTCATTTATTATAAGAGAATATAACAAAAACTAAAAATATATATTTTATTTAATACATTCAATTTATACTGAATTAAAAATTAATGAAAACAAATTTTTCAAAAATTAAATTAATTTTTATCTTATTATTTTACTACTGGATGCATCCAGTTTGAAATCTCCATATTCACATCAAGATATTCTATAAAAAAAATAAATAAATAATAATAAATTAGATGAAATGTGATTAAAATTTTTTTTTAAGACAAACAACAGTTTAACAGTAATGGACATAAAACATTTATGATAAATTTATGTAAACTATATAAGAACACATTTAAATTTTAGAAATCTTGAACTTGAAAAGCTTATGGTTTGCGAGTTTCATTTGTAATAATAATTAACTAGTGTCTACCATGTGAGTTTTAAATGAAAATAAATATTTTGAATTTTTTCTTAATATAGTAAAAAATTTTTATGCGTAAAAAACTATTGTCACAAAGAAAAACATTATATATTATTTTATAGAGAATTTTTTTGATTATTTAAGTGTTGCCATAAATTTTAAACAAAAAGTTGATTTTTACAGACTTAACCTTCCGGTGGACGCGTAGCAGCACTGTGTGCTGCCAAATTAGTTTTTTCGTGATAAATACTAGTATGTATTTTTGAAAGGCTAGATAATTTCAGTACCTGTAGTTGGCAACACTAGTAATATTATCAATATATCAATTATTATTTTCCTCCATACTATCAGTCACCAGTGAAGATTTAACGTGATAGAATTCATTCGGCAGCATTCCGTTCTGCACGCGCTCACTAATGTAAGTATTTTTATTATTCAAATTTTGATAGAAACTATTGCAAATTATTTTATTACAAGTTAGTTTGACTTTTTTTATTATATTTATTCATAATTTAAATATATGTATTTATTTATTACTTATGGCGAAACAAAACTATTCTGAGGAAGAGATTAGGCTTATTCTTGAACAATCTGATGATGAAGGGCAAGGANTTTATCAAAAATTTTTCATCAACTTTAAAGAACCAAAAAAACAGGTTAAAAATGAAAATTTTTTTTGTTTATTATAAACTTTCACTTTGAAAGACAAAATAAAGAAGGTTAAAAATTATTACTTTTAACATATTAAAAATCAAATTAGTAATAATTCGAAAACAAATTTTTTTTCTTTTAATTATTATTTTATATGTAATTAGTAATAGTATAAAAAATTAGAAGTGATAGAAAAAGTCTGCTTGCAGATTTGAAAACAACGCGAAAAGTTGATTTATAAAAGTATATTTTTGCTTCTGATGAAAGTTCCTTGTAGTACAGTGTATTTTTTTAAAAAAACAAACAGTTTTTATTGAAAATTATTGTATCAAGCCCTTTAAATTTTTATACACGTAAAAGTAAAGCAAAATATAACTTCTTTATTATTTTTATAATTTCTCCGTTTAAATTACAATATTAAATTATTGAATATCAATTTCATACCAAATTTAATAATTATGATTAGTATTTATTCATATATTATATTTTAAAATCAAAGAACTACTAATCAGGATATAATCAAAGAAATAAGAGTTGATGTTGCTTTTGGAATAATCCACCAATTTTTCTAAATGAAACATTATCTACAGATTTTCATCGAAGCGTTTCTTATGATAGTGATTTTAATTACAGTCAGATATCATCTATACTTGTCTCATCTATGCCTCGTCTACACTGTACCCCGACCCCACTGTGTTACAATTTTTTTTTAACTTATAGTACATAACATAAGCTTTAATTTAACATATGTTGGAAGGAAGNCATAAGCTTTAATTTAACATATGTTGAAAGGACGCAGTATTTCTGGAACATTTTTAAAATCATAGTTTAAAACATTTTACTTTTGTGGAAAAATTGCTACTTTGAATGTATTCCCCGAACAGATTAAGGGTCAGGTTTTAAATAAAATTAATTTTAAATAAAAGGGACATGCTTAAGGTTTCTATATAAAAAAAATTAGTTTGATTCATTTTGAAAAAGTAATGGCAGTTTTGACATTCAAAAATGATAAAATTTAACAATATTAAAAATTGTAATTTTTTCGAGATTTCTCAAATTCACGGGGAACGAAGGTATATTTTTCAACTTTTAATAGAAATGCTTTCAACTACATACGATTTGTAATCTTCTGAAGTATTTTTGAAAGAAATCGGTCTAGTGAGAGCTGAGTAAAAGTGTGACCGACATAAAAAAAAAACACATCGTAGTAAAATTTATACCTTCTCAGCTTTGCATCGAAGCTAAAATATTAAAATTAAAGTTTCAAAAAATGAATTGAAATAATACATTATTAGGAAATATTAAATACAAATTATACTCATACTTATGATAATTTTGTAACATGATTTTTTATTTATTATAAGAGAATACAACAAAAACTAAAAATTTATATTTTATTTAATACATTCACTTTACACTGAATTAAAAACTGATGAAAACAAATTTTTCAAAAATTAAATTATTTTTTATCTTAATTATTTTACATTTTCATAAATCCAGTTTAAAATTGTCGAAATCACATTAACATATTCTATAAAAAAAATAAATAAATAATAATAAATTAGATTAAAAGAGATCAAAAAATTTTTTTAAGACAAATAACAGTTTTACAGTAATGGACATAAAGCATTTGTGATAAATTTATGTAAACTATATAAGAACACATTTAAATTTTAGAAATCTTGAACTTGAAAAGCTTTTGGTTTGCGAGTTTCATTTGTAATAATAATTAACTAGTGTCTACCATGTGAGTTTTAAATGAAAATAAACATTTAGAATTTTTTCTTAATATAGTAATTAATTTTTATGCGTAAAAAACCATTGTCACAAAGAAAAATATAATATATTATTTTATAGAGAACTTTTTTGATTATTTATGTTTTTTTATAAATTTTAAACAAAAAGTTGACTTTGACGAACTTAAATTTAACTTGTTTATGTTTATGAAAACTTTCCCACGCTGTGTGGTTTGGAAAACTTTCCTAACCGTGAAAATTATCACGCATCTCACTATTGGACTGTTTTAAAATTATATTATTTTTAAAAATATATTAAAAAAATGTACTTCTTATGCATTTAATTTGAATCAATATGCATCTTAATTTTGAACAAAAATTTAAGGCGTAGAAGAGGCTAAGATATAAGTCATAATATTGAACAAGTATTCGATTATTGTAACTAACCGCCGTTTTGACTAGTTGTGAAAGAAATATTAATCGCTAAAACGTGAAATAATGTAATAGCTTAACAATTTGTAGTCTATAAATATTTTACAAATCCATAGATAATAAAAAAATGAATAGGGTCTTTGACTTGTTATAGATAGTTCACTGTAATAAGAAATACGCTGCGCAGTGTTTTACTGTCAGTAGAATTTATAGATTAGAGAATTCAAATGAATAAAAACCTATTTTATTGGGACTATAATAAATATTACTAAACGAGGTATTTGTACGTAGTAATCCGGGTTTCTGTCAAAATTAAAATTAGAGCAACATTTAGTTGAATAATGACAAAAAACAATGTGCTATTTATTTAAACGTTAACCTTTAAAATAAATTATTTCAATCTTCCTTATATATTTTAGTATGAATTTAAAAAAAAATTAAAAAAAAAAAAAATTTTATAATATTTCGGTCCAAGAGCCGTTATAATAAGAAGTTTAAGAGAATTACGATAAAGTTATAGGACGCAGACAAAGTGCAAGGCACACATATTCTGCGTACCACGAGAAAGGCATAACTGAGTAAAAGGTGCAGACGTGGTACAACATATAAGTACTTAAAATAGTTGACACTTCGACCCAATACAGTGAAGTCAATACTACTACATGATCATCAGACAATCAATAGACCACAATCTTATCTGGCCACACTTAAATACAATAACGGGCGATCGCAACATTAAATACTATAGTTCAGTCATCCTGACAGTTGGTCAACCTCGAACAACAACAGTAAATTAATAATATCACATAATAAAGTTCACTTAATAGATAAATAGTTTCGAATTATTTATTAAACGAGTAACACGTATGTTCCGCTTTACAGTGTCGAATTTGCGCGTATTGTTTAATAAACACTCAATAACGAAACATGTTTTTGCTAATTACAATAAAGTGCTAAGTGCATCAACATTTATTTTGGTCAAATTGCGTGCGACGGCAAAAACGTGCGGCGTTTTTGTCAACAATGGACATGTAAGATAAGATAATTACACAGCCAAATCAAATTGTAATTGATCAAAGTAATTTGAATCAACTATAAAGTGAAAATGAATCATTAAGAAAAATGATAGTAGAGCACCAGATGAGTATTGAGCAGTTGAAAACTCAACAAGTTAATTAGCATGTAAGTTTCATACATGATAATAATGAAAATAAAAATGTTATTAGTGATAAACCAGGCTGTAGCTTAAATGCTTCACGTAGTTCATCTACAAAACAAGTAAAAGAAATAGAAAAAATTTATTAAAAATTTATAAACTACCTCCAATAACTGCCAGTGGTGTTAAAAATATCAACAATTTAATTTCTAATTTAGCTCGCAAAGAAGCCATTGGTCATGAGCAACAGTAAAAAATTATTGCTAACGGTTATGAATTATTAAAATTGTTAAAATTATGACTGGTGATGAACACCAGTTGAGACGTACTTTAAAAGTACTTGAAAAAAATATAATTAAGTATCACAGATATCAATTAGTAACAGAAAATAGTTTCGTATTGTAATCAGCGGATTACACCCTGACATTGAAATATGTGAAATTAAAAGAGCCTTAGCAGATAATGGTCATTATGCAAGTGATGTCACTGACATCCAAATTATGAAAAAAATAAATCCTAGTGACAAAAATAGTCAAAAAACAATAATAAAATTACCTTTATTTTTTGTAGACCTTGATCCTCCAGATAACAATAAAGATATATACGACTTAAATAGTTTATGTTATTATAAAATAAAAGTAACTCCTCTGAAGAAAAAAAAGGTGTGCCACAGTGTAAAAACTGCCAAGCCTTTGGACATACTCAACAATGCACATAAAAGCAACAAATGTCAAAGTCATTAATAACATACTCATTGGGGAGCAAGAATTATTACCCCTGAAGGACATGCACTATTAAAATCAGCTAATTACAACAAAGCTAAGTTTGTTTCTACTAGAAAACCAATTTACTGGCCAAGTCACTCAAATAAAATTCCTGGTCTTTTAAACTTCTTTGTAATTAAAGGTTACTCTTCTATGTTCAAGCAGAAGAGTTTGTAGACTTGCCGCCTGATCACATTCCTGTATTATTAACAATAAGTTCGAACGTCATATTAAAAAATCGGAAAATTATTCTCACGAATAAACAGACAGACTGGGATTTAGAAAAACCACTTTCCGTACAGTTGAAAACAGCAAGTAACATAGAAACAGTAGTATATAAACTAACTAATGATATTATCAAAGCGGCAAAAAAGCTACTCACGATATTTGTCTTTACAAATATCGTGAGAATACCTATCGTCGCGGCTTACAGATTCGAAATAAATAATGTAATTCATCGAGATATGATGTTACCAACCGTAGCAGATGAAGTCACTCGGTTTGCACGTAAGCATATAATGAGGTTGGAAACCCATGAAAATATAGCGGCAATTCAACTATTGGACAATTCCAATGACCTAAGACGTTTAAAACGCGTCAAGCCATATGACTTAGTTTAAATTTATAAATATTTATTTTACAATTTTAATATAATTTATTATTATTAGACTAAATTAGAGACCACTTCACAGGAAGTGTAAATCCCATTCATGTTGTATTAGTATATATATATTGTTAAGACTTTTCATTATATCAGTGCGTCAGTACTGATAGGTTATTGCGGACAACGGCCGCAATAACCTATCCGCTAGCTCTGCTCAATGTCAATTAATTATAAATTGTATAGAATTTATATTTGTGAATTAATAAATCATTTTTATATTAATTACATAAAATCACATTGTTTAGGATTTTAATTTATATTATACAGTCCGCTAATTATAAAAACAGAAATAATATAACACACGAACCATTATGTGGCGTTAACAATATATATATATATATATATTAATTAGTAAAATGTATATTTATAATTTTTATAACCATTTAATTGATTAAGATTTATGATCGTCTCAATAAAAAGTACCGTAGGGTAGTTAAAAATATATATATATATATATTTTAAATTAAACATTACTTGATTATTATTTTAAGATAAGATCATAGTTTAGTCAAAATATCGCGATTAGTACAATCGTCGCGGCTTAAAGAATTGATATAAATAATATAATTCATCATAAACTATATTTTACTATATTATCAATACTTATTAACAATATAATAAAAATAGTATGAATTATTAATAGTAAAATTAATAAATTTTGTTATTTTTTTTTTTATACAGAGTGATTTTTTTATCATAACCCACTCAATTACTTACAAAATAATTATAATTTAAACTTTTTAATTTTTGGTTATTTTTTTTTACACATTTATCTTAAATTATTAAATATATAATACTTTTTAAGTTCATCTCTTTGTGGTAAAGGTGTCAAAATTGTTTTTTTAAATGGGAACACATATTTTAAATTTAATAAAATTATTAAGATCTTTATTTATTATTAAATGGCATATCAATTTTTAGTATAACTTTATTTGTATATTAGATATAACATGTATTATACATAAGGGTTTACAAATACGGGTAGCTAATTGGTTTTTTATGAGATCGATATTAGCAGGTACACAGCATTGTTATTATCTATGGTAGTAAGGCACATTGTTGTGAGTTTATAAATACACTAACTGACAATACAGAATGTATATCTATTGATAGTAATAATTAACAAAAAACACTGACAGACTGTGATTGTGATAGCAACATCATAAAAAAACAATTAGCTACCTGTATTTGTAAACCCTTATGTATTATACATGTATATTAACTTAAAAATTTGAAACTTTAAATGTTTATATCTAATATACAAATAAAGTTATACTAAAAATTGATATGCCATTTAATAATAAATAAAGATCTCAATAATTTTATTAAATAAAAAATATGTGTTTCTATTTAATAAAACAAAGTTGACGCTCTTACCAGGCATAAGGGATAAACTTAAAAAGTATATCATAGTTAATAATTCAAGAATAGTGTGTAACTAAAGATAATAATAAAACAAAAAAAAATTTTTAATTATTGTTATGATGTAAGTAATTGAGTGGGTTATGATAAAAAAATATGCGCTAACAATTTTTTTTTTTTAAATGTAATATTTACAAAATATGGCTAAAAAGAACCTTAATTGTTTATTTGACTTTAAGCAAAAAAATTTTTTCTGTTTCCCATAGTAAAAAAAATTAAGTCGCCCCAGCTAAAATGAATTTTAAATATGCCCCGGTTATGTTTATTAAATTATTATAATAACAAACGTGTTTAAATTGTAATTTTTTGAATGGGTGTATATTAATAGTCCGGATAGATTCATAAAATTACTATTAATTTAGACAACGTATCTCTTACCTTTTTGTGTAAGTCCTTTGTCTGGATTACTTGCGAAACGATCGATAAAATCTTGACAATCCTTTTCAGTAATACCTCTGGTAATATTAGTTAAGAATTTTGTTATGTAATCATGCATTATTTTGGCATTCATGTGGCCTTCTGGAAAATACTTATTTCTTTGTTCATTTTCATAATTGGCGTCATTTGTACAGACTTCGCTGTTGTTATATTCTACAATATTTGTTGGAACTAAAAATTATTTCAAGCTTTAAATCTCAATTTTGAATAATTATTTTTAGATAACACTTTTCAATTTAATACAAAATGATTGAATTTGGGTAAGATACTCAATTTCTCAGAAACTATTGAAAATTTTTAATTTTCGTTAAGAGAAAATTATTTGGTTTAAAACTTACAATAATGTACAGTAAAATAAGTTTTTTCATCTCATTAACGATAAAAAAAACTGAACTTTAATTTTTGTAAATAGGAACAACTACTTTTAACTTTGTAATGTGATAAAAAAAAACCCAGCACAATGGAGTGGCAGCACAGTGGGGTCGTGGCATAGTTGGGTCAAGTATAGATGATATCTAACAGTGATTAAAATCACTATCATAAAAAGCGCTTCGATGCAAATCTGTAGATAGTGTTCAATTAAAAAAAAAAAAATTGTTAAAATAGCATATTTTTTAATACGGTAGCCTTTTGCGCATAGAAGATAGGTCGTCAGGACAAATTTTTTTTTTCATATTATAGTACATAAAATAACCTTTGATTTGATATATGTTTAAAGGACGCAGTATTTCCGGAACATTTTCAAAAATTAAGTTGAAAAAGTTATTTTTTGTAAAAAAGTTACTATTTTAAATCCCCCCAGTGAGCAGAATAAGTGTTAGATTTTCAAAAAAAATTATATCAAGTGAAAGGGAAATACCTAAGGTTTCCATTCAAAAAAATATTATTTTTATTTGTTCATTTTTGAAAAAGTTATGGCAGTTTTAAGTACAAAAAACATCCCGATAAAAGTTAATTTTTATCGCAAACATTAATTTTCGACAGCCATTTGCACATAGAAGATAAGATGTCGGGACAAATTTATTTTTTTCATTTGATAGTATATAACATAACCTTTGATTAGATATATGTTTAAAGGACGTAGTATTTCCGGAACATTTTCAACAAGGAAAGTTCAGTTGAAAAAGATCTATGTTTTTTACAATATTTCAAGTTTTGAATGCCCCCTATATAAGGGAAAATTGTCCAATTTTAATAAAAAGTATGTCAAATGAAAGATGTACTTATAATGTATTTAGGAAAAAAAAATTGTGCTGATATATACATTTTTCAACAAGTTATATCTCTTTTAAGTTGAAAATTTAAAATCGAAAATTTTAACACAAAAATAGTGTTTTTTTAACTACGGCAGCCGTTTAAATGTAGAAGAAAAAGTGTCGGGACAAATTTTTTTTTTTCATTTTATAGTACATAAAAAAAGATTTAATTTGATATATGTTTAAAGAACGCAGTATTTCCGGAACATTTTCAAAAATTAAGTTGTAAAAGTTAATTTTTGTAAAAAAGTTGCTATTTTAAATCCCCCCGAATGAGCAGGTTAAGTGATAGATTTTCAAAAAAATGATATCAAATGAAGGTAAATATCTAAGGTTTTAGTATAAAAAAAAGTTATGTTGATTTGTTGATTTTTTAAAAAGTTATGGAAGTTTTAAGAAATAAAAGTGAAAAAATTTCGAAAATTAGCGATTATTAAATTTTTAATTTTTTGGGGGATTTCCCCTGTTTACGGGGAACAAGGAATTTTTTCAATTTTTATGGGTAATTTCTCCGACTAGATACGATTTGAGATATTTTGACGTATTTTTGAAAGAAATTAGTCCAGCGAGAGCTGAGAAAATGTGGCAACAGACTTAAATAAAAAAAATAAATAAATAACACATCATAGTAAAATTAATAACTTCTCCGCTTCGCATCGAAGCTAAAAACAATTACTAACAAATGTTGTCTTATAATTATTTTTTATTCGATCAATTGTTCATCTGTTGCTGTAACAGATGAACAATAAACATGTTACAAGAGCCATTTTATAAGTACCACAAATACATATATTTTTCTTATGATTTTTTACTCTTAAAACCAACTTTTCAAATTTGTTTTTGTTTAATACAAAATATTATTGATTCATCAATATTATCGTTTTTATTTTAAATATTTGCAGTAATACTTTTAAATAATAACTAAAAATACTCAAATAGAAAGTCTAAAAACAAACTGTAGACTAAATTTGTTGTCAATATTACAAATACTCAATGGAGTTTAAATGTTTGTGTCATACTCTTGACTTTTGTAGGTTTTATTTCGTTCATCGAGCATCAAATGTGATTATAGGTAGATTTTCAGGAGATACTAAAGTATCACTTAAATACCATAATATAATACTATAATATAATTATAGGTATAGGTGTTTGTGTATGTGTGTCAGAGCGTAGAAATAGATTAAAAATGAATTTAATTGAAATGTGTAGCTGAAATCACTAAAATTGATTTAAATCCAAAGACAATATTGCAGAGAATTAATTTTAATTGATTTTAGATAATTTTTTTTATACATTTAATCTGTAAAACGATTTTTTTTTGTAAATTTATTATTGATACTATTAACTTTGAGCTATCGTGTATATAAAAAATCGGATCAAGTTAGCCTTATCTCAATATTTTTTTTTCAAACTAATATCAGACCAGATATTTTTTCAAAATCCTACTTACAAATTCCATATAATTCTAATATGATGCCTTGGATTTAGATTTACTAATTCATTTAAAACTGTGTATTTACTCTATTATGGATACGCACTTTAATATGGACTATAAATTGTATAAATATACAGGTAATTTTTTTATCATAACGCAATCAATTGAAAAAAACAAAGTATATTATAATTAATTGTTTTTAAATTATTATTGATTTTGATTTTTAATATGTTAAAAGTAATCATTTTTTTAACCTACTTTTTTTTGTCCTTTAAAGTGAAAGTTTTAATAAAAATAAAAAATTTACTACCATAACTTTTAACACAACTTTCTAGATGAAATTGTAATCATTAAATAGCAAAAAATGGTATTGTTAAGATTAATATGCAGTCGGGAAATTTTATAACTACTATTTACAGTAAATTTTGATTTCATCTATTGTTAAATTCAGGTGGAACTAAAAATCATTTTTTTTAGCTTCGATGAGAAGCTTATAAGGTATTGGTTTTATCATGATGTATTTTTTTTTTTTTGTGTCTGTTACCTTTTTTTCTCAGCTCTCACAAAACCGATTACTTTCAATGATAAGTCAAAAGATCAATAATCGTATCTAGTCGAAGACATTACCCTCCAAAATTGAAAAAATTTCCCACATTCCCCGTAAATGGGTGAACCTCCAAAAAAGTTACAAATTTAAAAATCACTAATTTTTTCAATTTTTTTTTACTAAAAACTGTTATAACTTTTTTAAAAATGCACATATCAATATAATTTTTTATTTTATTATAAGGAAATTTTTGTAAAAGATTAAAAAAGTGGTGGTGTGGAGATTTTCTAACTTAATTTTAAGTAATTAATTACTAACATATTTTAATGTTTGATGATCTATTGCCTAAGATACTCTACTCTTAATACTAATTCATGCCCTTACTTTGTAAATATTGTAAAAAAAAATGTATTGAATTATTAATATTGCATTAGCGTTTAAGTATTTCAACTGGGAGATTTTTTTAATCTGTTATACGAAAACATGATTATTATAATTCATAAATTACAGATGGTATAAAATATTACTAAAAATATATATATATTTATATATATTATTTATATATATATATATATTAACAAATTTAGCAAGTATTATAATGATGGGCAGGTTAAGTGTAAATTTTGCTGGGATATAATTGATAGTCTAATAAAACATACAAAAATAATTAATTTTTTTTTAATTTATTCAAAATTAAGTCATAATAATGTAATTATAGTAGCAATCATAGATACATATAATATATAACATACATATAATTATATCAACCAACCTATATTAAAGATTTTTTACACCGAAGTAATAAGATGTACCAACTCTTTTCTCTAATAAGTAATAATACTAATAAGTACTGATCCAAACATTTGTTATCTTTTTTATCTCAAAATATGTTGAATTATTTTTAATTTAATTTAGCATTTTATTTATTTAAGGAAGTAAGATTTTTTCAAGCGTGTTGTCAGTAATGCAAATGTTATTTCAATATAAAGAAAAAACATCAACAATGATTGTTTAATGACAACTGTATTTATTTAGAAATATCTACTATCGGGACTGAGGGTAAATTTTTAAAATATTGGCGTATAAGCTTATAATAGATGTTTTATAATTTTTAACGTGTCGTTGAGCAAATTCGGTCCAGTAGGAGTAGGTGTAATGGCGTACCGGTCAGAAAAAGAAACACGTCAAAGTAAAACCAATAGTTTCTCAGCTACGTATTGAAACTAAAATTCATTTAGGATAGCCCAAAATTGTAAAAATTTTGTTAAGAAAAAAGTAATGCAAAATATTTGATAAATCAGAAGTTCTTAACGATGTGAAATATCCTTAAATACTTTCTAATTAAAATATGATGAATTAAGCTGTTAAGTTGGAAACATTTTGTATAAGTATGAGAAATTAAATTATAAGAAAAATATTCATTAAGTGCTAATTTATTAAAACATTGAAGTTTCAATTAACGTTAATTAAAAAGTAAATTTTAATTTAAACTGAAATTACTAAAACTGCTTTAAATTTATTTTTTGTGATCACAAAATTATGAACAAAGCAAATTTTTTTTATTTGAACAATTTTTATTTTAGCACTAAAATATTTAGAAATATCAAAACCCATGACAGTAGTAAAACGTTTAAACATCAATTATTTTATGAGAACAATAATAAAAAAAAATTACCTGCAAATGCAATTGTTATATAAATAACGAAGAGTAATAAAACAGTTTTATTTTTAAACATATTTGAAGCTTAAAAAAATTCTTTTAATGGAAGTTATAATATTTTTGAAAAAAATTATATGGATTTATTCAATTAGAAACAATTTAAAGTACTTAATGAAGTCAATATAAAGCTTGTTTTATAGGAAATTCAGCTTAATTTAAACGGTTCAGATGTTTTATTTTAGTTACTGATGACTTCAGTAATAATTGATTCAATATTTGTATTAGTAAATAGAGTCGTAATCAGTATTAATAAACTATAATTTTATACGTCATTAATTCGACATTGTAAATTCAAGAAAAATTTATCTTGCTGAAACTACATGATCAAAAATTATTCATGATTGGTAAATTCATAATATACAGAGTGATTTCTTTATCATAACCCACTCAATTATTTACAGAATAAATATATTTAAACATTTATTTCTTTTTGGTTATCAATAGTTACACATTATTCTTGAATTATTAACTATGTAATATTTTTAAGTTCATCCCTTAAGCTTTGTAAGGGCGTCAACTTTGTTTTTTTAAAAAGAAACACATATTTTTAATTTAATAAAATGTTTAAGTTTTTAATTTAATAGTAAATGACATTTGAATTTTTACTAAAACTTTATTTTTTTATTAGATATAAACATTTAAAGTTTCAAATGTTTGAGTTAATATATAGGTATAATACACAAGGGATTACAAATATAGTTAGCTAATTGGTTTTTTATGACATCGCTGTCACAGTCACGGATTGTTTATTATCAATTATGACAATCAATAGATATACTTTTTATATAGTCAGTTAGTGTATTTATGAACTCACAACAATGTGTCTTACTACCACTGATAATATCAATGCTGTGTACTTACGAATATTGATATTGAAAAAAACAATTAGCTACCTGGATTTGTAATCTTGTGTATTATACATGTATATTAACTCAAAAATTTGAAACTTTAAGTGTTTATATCTAATAAACAAATAAAGTTATACTAAAAATTCAAATGCCATTTATTAATAAATTAAGATCTCAAAGATTTTATTAAATTCAAAATATGTGTTTCTATTTAAAACAACAAAGTTGACGCTCTTACCAGGCATAAGGGATGAACTTAAAAAGTATTACATAGTTAAAAATTCAAGAATAATGTGTAACTAAAGATAATAAAAAAAAAATGTTTAAATTATTGTTATTCTGTAAATAATTGAGTAGGTTATGATAAAAAAATCACCTTGTACATGATCACTAAAATCCACCAAAAAAGGTTAGCAGCGTTGTAGGCGACGGTACGCGAGTACGGATTCGTCGGTCGACGTTGTCCCTTTCACAACGGGAAGAAGACTCAGCGTATCATTTGCGGCATGTTGTCGTCGGCCGTGCGAAATTNGATGGCGACGGTACGCGGGTGCGGTTCGGTTGGTCGACGTTGTCACTTTCACAACGGTAAGAAGACTCAGCGTATCATTTTTGGCGGGTCGTCGTCGGCCGTGTGGCACTTGTTGTACTTTGCACCGTAGCGAATGACACGCGGTGTTGGTCAGTCTAATACTCATAAAATAGGTCGACAGTTGATAAAGGTGGCACGAGTCGCGGGGCATCGTGTATAACGATGCGACGCGGGCCGTGTCAGATTATGATACTCATCACTGTTAGATTTCAATTTATAATTATAAATTTGATAGTTGGAATTTGATAGTCACCTCTGATATGTAATGCGTCCAATAAGTAATGCCGTTTACAAACCTTTGAATTCAATTTATGATAAATTGTATAAATATTATATTTATAATATTTGTTATATTATAATATGATTCTAAAATGTATTAAAATATTATTAATCTATCTTGGTATGATACCCAAGGGCGAGGTTCCCAACACATGTTTAATACAGCAAAACATTAATTTTTACTAAATATTAAATTTTTCCCAATACTTCAATTTTTGATAAATAATTTATAGAAAAATTTGCTACGGACAATTTTATCTTTCTTTTAAGATATTTAATTTTTAATTACTATATATTTAGTTTTTATTGCAAATTTTCCTTAGGTAGGCGCTATTCGCCCAATCTTTTCTATGTGTATAAGAAGATTGATTTTATGTAAGGCATTCATTTTTAACATACTTATATTAGCTCATCATGTATGTTGTTTGTTGTGAGTTGTTTGTAACTTTCCACGCGCACGTGTCTACGGCCTTGAGACTTGACGGTCGTAAAGCATTCACCCCACCCCGCTCACCAATCGTAGACAACAATATTTTCCAACCAGTAAACGCGCGCGTGTCATCAATTATATATATATGACAAATTTTTATTGTGATTGACACGGCCCCGCGTCGTTTAGTTATACACGATGCCCCACGTCTCGTGCCACCTTTATCAGCCGTCGCTCTATTTCATGAGTATTTGACTGATCAACAACACGCGTTATACGTCCCGGTGCAAAGTCCAGCAAGTGCCGTACGGCCGACGACGTCCCACCGCTAATGATACCGTAGTCATCTTCCAGTTGTCAAAGTGACAATGTAAACAAACCGATCTGCACTCGCTTACTGTCGTCATCTACGCTGCTAACCTTTAGACGCCAGAGGATCACGCAGGACGTCGCGTCGTCGACGCCAGCGAAAGTGCCGCGATATTATGCGAAGATCATATATTCCTACCGCCACCGCTAATTTTAATATATACATATATTAATTTATGTATATACGTATATGTTAATATTCATTTATATATTCCTACAGCCGACGTCGCTGCCGCCGTATATGCCTCATGTATAATGTTCCCCCCGCCACGCCCGCCCACAAAACACGGTTATACCTCATGCATGATACGTTTACGTACTGAAGTTCCTTTACATGTATATCTATATATATATCTATATATATATATGTATAGGGTATTTATTCCGATTACAAAGGATGATTCCCGTATCGTCATTTTTCGTCATTATTTCCATGTTCCGGGAGTGGGTTAATTAACGCGACTGCTGGTTCCCTTGAATGTGGTAGCCGTTTCTTAAACTCCTCCGGAATCGAACCCTGATTTCCCGTTACCCATTACAACCATGATATTGATATTAACTACTATCATAACATGAAACTAAAAAGTGAAAATTAAATATAGTTAGAAAAAACTAAAAACACGCTTTTAAAGCACATCGAACTAAAAAGTTAAAAATAATTTTTAAAATTAACTTAAAACAATAATGAACGAAAAATACTAGTATTATTGTGAAAAAAATCGTGGGTGCTTTATTCCATATTTTTTGTATATTGAGCGCCCGACGATTTTTTTCACAATAACCTATTTTAAAAATGAACGAAACAAAATAATTTTTTTTAATATAATTACCTTGGGTATTTCCCTTTCATTTGATATGAATTATTTGAAAGTCTGACCTTTTACGTGCCCACATGAATGATTCAAAATAGCAATTTCTGCAGAAAAATTTAACTATTTAAACTTAAGTTTTGGAAATGTTCCGGAAATACTCCGAGTTTCAAACATACGCTAAAATAAGTCTTATTTTATCTACTATAAGTTAAAGAAAAATTGTCCCAACAGTTTATTTTTTACGTACAAATTGCGGTCGTAGTTTTAAACATACTACTTGTGTGTTCAAATTTTCGANTTAAACATACTACTTGTGTGTTCAAATTTTCGATTTCAACTTTAAATTATTATTAGTTATTTTTAATTAATTATTATTAGCCGGCACCGCCACC